CTGCTGTGCTTCGGGCAGCACCCTTTTGAAGACGGAGCAAAGCTTCGCATCGTGAACGGGAAATACTCCATCCCTGCTGACGACACTCGGTACTCTGTGTTCCACGGCCTCATCCGTAAGTGCCGTGCGCAGGGACCACGGAGGTCACGCCTCCTTAACGTCCCGCGTGGCCCTTGGCAGCCTCTCTGTGGGCTTTTCCATCAGTCAGCCGTGTGAGTTACGTGCTCCAAACGGTGGCTTTTGGTCATTTTGCTCCGTTCTGTCGTTGCTCTTCATGCTGTGCCCTCGCCTTTAAAGTCCGTGAGCGAGGCCCTCCGTGGGTCCGTCACCTCCACAGGGGCGGGGTGGGGCCCTGAGCGCGCCCTTCCTGCCGCAGGCGCCACACTGAGGGTCAACCCGGAGGAGCGGCTGTCCATCACCGAGCTGGTGAACCAGCTGCAGGAGATCGCGGCTGCCCGCAGTGTGAACCCCAAGTCGCCCATCACTGAGGTAGGGCCTTCCAGGTGCTGCTCAGAGCAGGGTCTTAGAGGCCCCGTCTGCATTAAAGGGGTGACCATTGTGCAGGCCAAGTCCCCATGCCCCGGCAGCCCCAGGGCGGAGTCACCTGGCAGGAGGGAGTCAGCACAGGCAGATGGCTCTGAATGTGGGCAGGAGCTGGAAGGAAGACGACCCTGTCAGACAGTGGCCAGCGCGGGGAGGGTGGGCAGTGGGGTCGTGGGGGGTGGACGAGGCTCGAGGCGTCTGCTCTGGGGCTGCCATGTGTGTGCCGCCAGGAGTTCTCTGGGGCCCGGTGGGGGTGCCGACGGACAGACACAGGCCACTAGTCAGTGGTGCCAGAGCACCTTTCGGTCTTGGCGCTTTCAGAACTCGGGACCCTGGTGCAGACACTACCCCCTGCGGTCGCTTCTGGCCAGGCAGTGAGGACCGTGCCTGGGGGCTGGGCCTGGAGCCCAGGAGCAGCCGATGGAGGACTGGCCGGCCTCACGCAGGCAAGAGCAGCGGTGTCTGCGTGCCGTCTGTAACAGGGCCTCCGACTGAGGGCCTGGCGTGTGCGGTCCCAGCGGAAGGCGTGCCTGCCTGGCAGCCTGAAACCTGCCGGAGAGACAGGGCGGGAGAAAGCCTGGCTGTCCCACCGCCATGCCGCCTGGGAAACAGCGCGTCCTGAATGCCCACCACCTGCTCGGCCAGAGAAAGGCAAGGGCACCTTCGTTTTACCTCGTGAGCTTCATGTCGAGAAACCTGAGCTCCGTAACAAGGACGTTCACAAGAGCTGCACCAGAGACTAAGGCCTCGGCTGAGGAATGCACAGGAGAGGAGCAGGCACCATGGCCGTCGACCATGCAGGGTCGCGTCCGGCGCCGAGTGGGCTGGCGGGAAGCTGCAGCCCTCCCCAGCCGGGCCCCCACCTCCTCTCTGAAGGTTGGGGGTTGTGGCTCTACCAGCGCCGGCCGTGGGCTCAACTTGGGGCAGGCAGGGCCCTTGCTGTGCAGCCACCCCTCTGGCAGGCAGGCTGCGAGCCACTGGGCGAGAGACTGGCCGCGCTGGGCGTGTGGGAGCGGCAGGCTGCCCGTGACCTGAGCATCCGCTCGCAGCGCTGTGTGAGCCGCCCTTGGTGTAGGGTTCTCCAGGGCCAGGTGGAGGGGCTGCAGCCAGGAAGGAGGGTTCTCCCTGCGCAGAGCTGGCGGACTGCGGCTCCGGCCCTGTACAAGCTGAGGCCTTGCTGTTCGAACCCTTGCAGCTCCTGGAGCAGAATGGAGGCTACGGGAATGCTGCCCCATCCCGAGGGCCACCTCCTCCCGGGGGGCCTGTGAGCAGCGGCCAAGGCGGAGGTGAGTGCACACGTGCGGAGCGCCGGCCCACACCCTGCCTCGGGCGGTCGGCCTGGCCACGCGCGAGAGGCTGCTTGTTCAGGTCCCCTAACTGCCTAGGGCTCCCAGGATGGGCCCTTGGCAACAGGGCCTAGAGGTAACTGCCTAGGGCTCCCAGGACAGGCGGAGCCGACACTCTAGGCCACGTTTAGGATGGAATTCGGGGGGCGGTGTGCATGCTAGCGCCCTGTCCTATGCTGCAGGGGCTCTGAGTACCCTGATGCCTGGCGTGTGGGGTCTTTGGGGTGGCCCGCAGGGGTCAGGGGCGCAGGTCCGAGTCCCCTGGGGAGAGGCAGGCTCCTTGGGCAGGAGAGAGGGTTGTGGCCATGGCAAAGGTGGCTCAGTGGGTTTTCTTCCGGCTCGGTTGCATTTGGTGAGTGAGCTGCACCCTCATCTCGTGGTGGTGGGTGGTCTGGGCGCCCCGTGCTGGCACGCGGAGCTGGTCCCCGAGGAGCCCGCAGCTGGGCCCGGTGCAGCAGGCCCGGGAAGGCTCTGGAGGCCCTGCCAGGCTGTGCTCTGCCCCACGCCTCATCCCCTTGGCCACTCTCGCTGTTTGGGGTGAAATCAGGTTTGTTTCCTGGGGAGGGGCCTCCCAGCAGCTGCCTGGCCCTGGGTCCTAGGCTCCATGTCCACACAGTGTGGGTCCTGGTCGCCTCTCTGGAGGTCCAGCATGTGGGGCCGCCCGGACTGCCCTGGGTCTTCTCCAGGACCACACCGCACACGTGCACGCATGTGCTCGTACATGCTTACACCACGCTCGTGCCCACACATGCTCCACACACACGAGTGCTGGTCATTTCCTGGTGAATGGCCAGCAAGAACGCTCTACACGTAGGACGTGTGGGCTGCTTTCTGTGGCTGCCTGACAGCGGGAGCACAGGGCCTGGTCCCAGCTGCACCCCAGCCACCTGTGCCAGCGCTGCTGGCTGGTCTCAGAAGCTGCACAGAGGCCACAGACGCCCTTGGGCACAGAGGCAGCACGTGGGCACGACTTCCTCTTTTTACCCCGACC